TTCTCTCTCTCTCTCTCTCTCTCTCTCTCTCTCCCCTCTCTGTTTCTCTCTCTTTCTCCCTCTCTCTCTGTCTTTCTGTCTTTCTGTCTGTGTCAACCTCACCACTATCAACATCACCGAGTTTATTTACTCGTCTTCTGTCCTTTTCTCATTCTCTGTCTTTGTCTTTCTGTCTGTCTCTCTCCTGCCTTTCTATCTCTCTCTCTCTCTCTCTCTACATCTTTTTGTCTCTCTCTCTCTCTTTCTCTCGATCTCTCTTTCTATCTCTAACCTCTCCCTCACCCCCTCTCTCTCTCTATCTCTTTTTCTTTATGTCTTACCTCTCCCTCTTCCGTCTCTCTCACATACCCCCACCCATTCCCCCTCTCTTTTCTTTGTAGAATGTCTTATACTATACATCATATTATCTTTACCATAGAAAACTACATTATGCACCATATCTTTACCATAAAATACTATATATACCACAGAATACACTACAGTATGTACCACATCTTTACTATAGAATACTGTATTGTATACATCATATCCTGACTATAGAATAGGCCTACTCTATTGTATGTACCAGATCTTAATGCTAGAATACTGTATAGTATGCACCATATCTTTTTCTATGGAACACACAGCAGTATGCACCATGTCTTTACTATAGAATACACAATAGTATGTACCATATCTTTGCTGTAAAATACTGTATAAGGTATGCACCGCATCTTTTACAATTAGATTCTCCAAAGTATGCATCATATCTTTTACAATTACATTCTTTACTAAAGCATGCACCATATCTTTAATTAGGAATACCTAATAAGTTTGTTCAATTGTCTTGTCCCCCCCTGCAGTCCACAGCTGGTTGGATCGGGTGTTACTCCACTATAGCTGCCTGTGCGTTCAGTCTCTTTATAGGAAGGTGAGAGTTTGTTGTGTTCTCACCACTGTCCATTACTCCGTGGGTACGATCCATCTACCATCCTGATGTGACTTAAGACTCATTTCTGAAAGGCAGGAATGGACAGACTCATCCATTCTTTGGGTAAACCTTGGTTTTCCTAAAATCGATAAGAGTGGGCCTCGGCCGCCACCTGGGCAAAATTCAAAATTTCCTACGACTGAAAATGTTTAATGTGTCCACACGCTCATATGACTTTACGGAGTTGTGAACGCAGTAAAACACTTACCAAACAAACCTGATGTAATGAAAAATTTAAGAGATATCAGTCGGGGATGGCATATTGAACTCACAACCGTATGGTCGTGGGTTCGAATCCCGTTAGGGGCCCGACGTTGTGTCCTTGGGAAAGGCACTTTGCACAAATTTTCCTCACTTCACCCACGTGAAATCCGCAGCTTGCACTTTATGCTTCCGCGGAAGCTGAAAATGTTTCTGAGTGTTCTCAGAGGGTCTGCTGGGGTAATAATAGTTGTAAAGCGCATAGAGCAAGCTCCTGAGCATGGATATGCGCTATATAAATGCAATTATTATTATAATTATTATATTGTACGGGCTATCTGTGGTTTCGAGTTCGGGGATGGCATATTTTACGGGCTATCTGTGGTTTCGAGTTCTAATTGTTAATGTTATCTGTAGCGGCTGTATCTACGTGTTCTCCCCTGATGTAGCAACTATTTACATTTCTATTCCTTCTTTATAGATTTACATACTTCTCACCTAACTATCCGAATGGCATCATGCAGAAGAGTTAACGCTCAGATGTTACTGGATCGCTAACAACAACTCACCTAACAATGTTTTGTCCCCTAGATTTATATACCACTCACATATCTTTGCCCTGTCCATAGATTCACAGTGGGTGGTTGGCAGGTGCTCTGGTGTGGTTTGCTTCTTCTTTCCTATCAAACATCTATCGTCCTTATCTCCCCTCCTTCTTTTTTATGGTTTGTTATTCTCTTGTAACACCTCTAATCTTCTGGCGCTCATATGACCTTATGCAGTTGCGAGCGCCGTAAAACATCTACAAAAAAATATATATCTTTGCTTTGACCGTAGATTCACATACCACTCATGAAAAGGAAGATGAATTTCACTTTTTTTTATTGTCCAAATTTTGCCCATTTGCCCATCAAAGGAAAATGTCAATTTCTCCCATCCTGACTCGGCCCAGTGACAAAAATATGCAATGTTTGGCCCATGATAAGAGATTTGTGCACAACCTGTGCTTTTTCATTATGGAAACTTTATTTAACCGATGAGTGTTTGTATATGATGTGATGTAGGCCAATATCCTTAACCCTATCCTTACGCCGTGGGGTCATTTTGTACCCCGGGGTTGTATTCTGTATGCTTCCCGGGAAGTGTAAAGCGCATAGAGCCTGCTGTTGAGCGGGGATATGCGCTATACAAATGCTATCTATTATTATTATTATTATTATTATTATTATTATTATTATTCTATTTTTTAGAATACTTGTAGTATGAAGATCACTTTGAAACTTTCAGTATTTCTCAAAAAATAATTTTGACCAACTGCTATGCAAAGTGTATGGATCAGATCAACGAGTAAATTTCCTCTTTGGAAAGAGGTGGCACAGAGTTCCATACGTCGTATGGATACGATAGTAAAACGCGAGGTACGGATAGGGTTAAACACTGAATAAACTTACTTACATACCACTCACACATCTATGCTCTGTCCCCAGATTTACGTACCACTCACATATCTATGTCCTGTCTCCAGATTTACGTACCACTCACATATCTATGCCCTCTCCCCAGATTTGCGGACTACTTCACCCGCAGCATCAAGTTCTTCATCCTGGTCCTTTACATCCTTGGCACGGCCTGTTTCCTCGTCTTTGCCCTCATGCTCATCAAGGTCATCCCGTACTCGGACAGTGAGTGTTTCTTAGCTCGCACAGTGCAAATCTCAGTGAAAATAGAATGTCCTGTTTGAATATAGATACATATTCGAATAAGATTCAATGGTCGCTTTTAATTAAGCACAAGGGTGCTATCCAGAAAAATGCTGTTTTGAGAAAATCGAAGGTAAAGTTTTTGCCCCTTGTTCAGTTTCTTTAAAAGACAGGGAGAGTTTTCTCTATAATCAAACAAATATACACACCAATGGAACCAAACTGCTCCTATAGGCAGGGAAATATCCACTTTGGTGTTGGTCAAGATTTCTGGAAACCCCCCAAAATCTGGGTTAGCCCGCTTGTCCTTAAAAGCGACCAAATTACGTGTCAAGACACGGTGGAATCAGGCACTTGTCAATTTTTGGGCATTTAGAGTTATTGTACTCATCTGAAATCCTGTTTCTTTTTTCTTACTTTTGACGACAAAATGACCATCTATATTACATAGAAGTGGAGATATTTACAACTGAAGGAGGTGGGGGTTGCCTGATGTCAGATGTAACATTTTTTCACTTCCAAAGCTTGCATATCCTTAGAAACCCTTTTTTTGTGCCTTTCTTCAACATTTTTCAGTAAAGTCCACACAAAAATGCGAGTCTTATCAGTAACTTCGTACTGCTGATGTTCCCGGCGGGCCGCTGAGGTCACTCTGCGTGTACTGTTGGTATATAGCGAGCGGCCGCGGAAACGTGTGTTTTCGCCATGACTACCGTCTGTTTGTGTTAATCGATGATGAAAGTAACTATCTATCTTTTATGGCTTTCTATTGATAAAGTGTAACGAACACATGAATAACCCCCTCTCATAAGCCGATAAGTCATTACGGCTAGTTGCACCCAATCGAATAACCGTTTTAGATGCTCTTGTTCAAAAGAATGATCTGGGGTTTGAAAGGAAATAATATAGGTCATTTTTCGAATGTTTTGCTCTAGAATTTTTCTTTTTACCCGCACAATGATATTCAAAACTATCAAGTAAGCTTCTTTTTATCAGTAATATCATTTTATATAAAATCAGACTCATTTGAAAGACTTTGTATAGAAAAATGGAACTCTTGTTTCCTGGCTGTCCTTTCGAGCTCCTCATGTCTAAGTGGGTCAATTTGTTCTAATTTCTTGGAACGAACATTTAGAGTTACCAACTTGGCGTGTTTTGAATGAGACATGCGCTCAAGTTCTAGAAGTAGGCCTCAAACACACTCAAACTCGAGCAGACTGACACACACACTTGAGCTGCGGAAATACAGGACCCGGTCATCACACAAGTGGCTCGGCGAGCATACGCTGAGCCAGGGGCCGGACTGATGCGGGACCGGAGGAAGGCGAGATGCCGAAATACGCTTATCAGGAAACATAAACCCGGCACCCAGGGGACGGGGATTAATCTAGTATCTTGGTCTGTCTGCTGATATGTTGTAACCCTGTCACCCGGAGTTGACACTAACAGGCAGTGTTAAAGTTCGCCTCCTGAATGATCAAAGTTGTATCAATTGGGGCGGGGGGGGTACGATCCATCTACCATCCTGATGTGACTTAAGACTCATTTCTGAAAGG